CTCTCTCTCTCTCTCTCACACACACACACACACACGCACACGCACACACGCACACACACACACACACACACACACACACACACACACACTGTCGATTAAGATTCCCTATGCCCTGCTGCTGCTCCACTGAATCATTTTCCGCTACTCCACGCTCACTGTCCGCTGTCTTCTGCTCCAATCTCTGTCCGCTGCTCCGTATTCTCTGTTCCGCCGATATGATTGTTCCACGGGCCAGGTGGGACAAACCCTACCGCGCTGCCCTCCCTTGATTGTGCTTCCCTTTCTTCTGAAAGCTTCCATAGGAAATACACTGACTTCAGCATTCTTCAGTTAAAGAGCCATGTCTTTGCCCGCTCAGCACCGCGCCTTGACTGCTGCCTTAATAGGTGAAGGACTACGGTCCATCCTGCAGGGGATGTATACCACCCTTACAGGACTGCACAGCTTGCCAGCCGTGACTAACTCCATCGGAAGGACGCCACGCCTGACAGTGTTCTTAGGTTCGGAATGTTCGAAAGGTTGTGTAAGCAGGCGCCATCACTTTCTCGTTTCGCTCCGCGCCTTGAAAGCTGCCATCTGTCTCTCGTTCTGCTCCACAGCTCCTCTGTGAAGATCCCATGCTATCTGCCTCCCCTCCTTAGAGGGCCCACCCACTCCCTCCTCAACGACATGGACAAGCTCATGTCTTGTTTGCTCGAGCTCACCTGTGGAGCCCGACAGCTGCAAGACCCCCCTCCCCCGTGCTGTGCGCCCTGGGGCATGGTGGCTAAGCTTCGCGCGGTGCACACGCCTCGTGGCTATGGAAGAAACCCTAATTCTATACCGCTCGCGTCACGGGGCTTGAGCGCTTCGGCGCCGCCCCCCGCTTCGTCCGGGATGCATTTTTTCCGTCCCGGTGGTTTTGTTGTGAACCGAAAAACGCGATCCCTGTTTTTGCCGATGTGGTTATTAAAGAATGTTTAAACTTTAAACACGAGTATAGTTTATTTGTTTGAGTGTGTTGGAGCATCAAAATGGTGTGCTGGAATGATAAATAGTGAAGCAGCGCCTGGCGTGAGGTTATCCGTCACAACATTATATTAGGATATTGGTTAGGATAAAGTCTGTAATGCTCTCGTATACATCAGGACCCTTCAGCATAACATCCTTCAATTCAAGGGTGCATCTTATGGTCTATATGCCCCATAGCAGTGTCTTCCCAACCAAATAGAACCAATTGGCTATGAAACCTCCTCCCTTATATTTTGAACAATAAGAAGTATGGCTTTCCGGTCCCATGGCCAACTAGGTTCCCCTGTCAGTCATCTCCATGTTATGTCCCACCATCTCCATAGGAAGACCGTTCAAGGGTTCGAGAAAAACAAACACTCCATTGTTCCTCTAATTTGCTAGGGACGAGTCCTGTTTGCCAGCATTTTCACCTGGGCAGGACTACCCTTCTTCTCCAGGCGTGCGTGGCCAACCAACCAATCCCTCATGGGCAAGCATTTGCGCCTTTTGTCTTTGCAGGGCTGTTGCTTTTACTGGTTTGCTCTTATAGTTTGGACGAATTCCCGGAAGGCAGTTTCTATCAAGGTTCAAATGTTTTGCTCAGCGGTCTCTACTCGGTTCACCACAATTTTCCTTTTAAACATCTTTTAGCTCTTGACCTTCATTTTGAAAAGGTCCATTGTGGATTCTTATCCCCTCTTTATTCATTTTCTGGTCCACCTCCAGTGGAGAGGTCCTTGATTGGTTTGCCAGTACGATTCCACTTCGCGTTGAGATTGTGAAGGTTCAATAACTTTTCTTGTTTGGCTCTGAGCTATTCGTTGGGACCATCACACGCTTGGGACCGGGCCCAGCGTCCCATGCATAGAAGATCACAATGAACCAATAGAAAGGCAGAACAACATTTATTTCTCAAGAACAAGAGGATTCGCTGTCTACAAGAATAGAAACGCAACAGAGGAAAACACCAGACCTTTTCAACCATCCTTACGCTGCCACCAAGTTCTGCTTTACGAGAAGTGTTGAGTCATACCCTATTCATCAGGCTCCCGTCTTCCCCCGAACATAATGCATATGCATTGTAGTTGAGTTCTCGAAAACTTCAAAATTTCAATAGAACGAATATGCGTTGTATTCGAAAGTAGGGGTTGTTCAATAGAACACATACGCGTTGTGTTCGAATAGAATGCAAACTATGACTTGTATTCGCTTACAACGCATATGCGTTATGTTCAGGGGAAGATGGTAGTACTCCTCCAACCCAAACCAGGACAGATCCACAAAACAATTCTCTGCTAGGGGGAAAGGGTCTTCAACATCTGCAGCTGACCTCATAGTTATGGAGGGGTGAATGCTACACCAAACTGCGAATGAAACGTAAGATCTCTGGGCTTTGGCCATTTCCCCCTCAATTGTTGCAGAAAATAGGCATGTGTTATGGGTTACTCAGCCACTGAAGCGGGACTGCCGGGGTGGCAGATCCCCCCCACCGTGGAGACGAACGATGAGGAAGACGGTGGAAACGGAGATGGATCTGGAAGGCTGACAGGCACACACCAATAATTCACACTGTAGTGTACTCCAAAGCACACAAGCGTAGAACAAGTCAAAAACAGACTGCAGGCTGGGGTACATCCCCAGCGGTCTGACTGGACTGACTGACCGAAGTGACGGCGGTTTCGTACCACATGAATATAATACGGCCTGTGAGATCAGGCCGACAGCCTGGTCCCATACGCCAAATATGCATATAGCCCAAATAGCCCCGGCTATAGGCCGGGGGGAGAATAGAGTACCGCTGCAGCCACTCTGTCATGAAGTCATGCGTCTTTACCTCCTTTTCCTTAGGTTCACTTAGGTGTTTCATCAGGAGTCTTATGCCGTATGGTCAGGATAGTGGTCTGAATAGACTCCCTGATCATCTCCTACACCTAATGGCCTGAGAGGCTTGCATCCTCCCATCCATGCGTGCACCTCTGAGACCAGGTAGCGCACAGCGCACATCACTGATTTCCTACCCAAGTGAAATGTCATTGAGGGAGGGAAAATCATGCGCTGTTTGTTCTTTTCAAATGAAAGAGTAGACTTGCTCTCAAGTCTACTGGCCTGCCTGCACCAGGTTAAATTCACGTGCAAGGAACCATTGCAGTACGGTAGGAACGGCTGGGAAAGGTACTAGTGGTTTAAAGACTCCATTCTATTGGTGGGGATTCTGGGGACCAGCACAGCGTCTTGATGAAGAAAACAATATGCAGTAGACTTTCTCTCTTACTATTCCACCATCTCACTACCCCCCATCTCTTCCATTTCCCCTCCCCACACCCTCTGCCATGGTCCTCCATCCAGCCTTCCCCCGGGTCCCACATGCCCCAATGCCCATATATCCTCCCCCTTACCCAGGAGCAGGGCTGTCCACTTGGTTCCACTCAGCGATATTCGAAAAAGCCAGAGGGGGCAGGGGGCGGGGGGCAGGGGGGCAGGGGGCCAGAGGCCAGGGGGCAGGGGGCAGGGGGCAGGGTCTGTGCTTGGCAGTTCCTCCCCCAGCACCCCCGGATGGGTGCAGCAGCATGCACTTAATATTTTTCTTGAGTATATGTACTTCAACTGTTGGGGCAGAGATGGTTGCCTCCCAAAAGCAGACTACCAAGAAGGTACAGATGATCCCCCCTAGTATACATGTGCTATAGCAGCTCTGTTTGTGTTAGATGAGCCAAAGCTGGGCAATGGTCCCGGCGAGTTCCAACTGGATCCAATTGTGACGACCTGGCCCTGAAACACGGGTGAAGACTGAAGCCCTTACTGCTACAGCTCTCCCTCCTATCGAAGCTGTCAGAAGTTCTCAGAACAGTAAAGATGGCCACCATGCAACACGAAGAAAAAGAAGAAGAAGAAGGCCAACATGCTTTCTGCTCATAAAGCGGGTGCAGACTGCATGACTACTTGTACAGTTCTCCCCTAGGTGGTTGTCATCGATACCCAAGAGTATGTCTTGTTCTTGAAAGAATGTGACGAGGGGATCAAGCACCCATTTTCAACATTGTCAAACTAAAATTGCGGGGCAACAACGCAGAGCGGACCCTGTGGTGGTGGGGGGGGGCAAGGGGAAGGTGGGGGAAAGTGCATCCAGCAGGGGGCAAGATGGGGAGGGGCCACCCTATTACAGTAGGCAACATTTGTTCCTTTTGGCCACCAAAATAATTTCCCAAGTTCATTGGGAAATGCAAATCTGCATACTTTTGTCCATATCAAAATCTTTAAATCTCTCATGTTATATTTTGTCTCATTCATTTCAGTTCACTCAACATGTTTGTAACTGGAATATGTTCAAACTCTCAGTTTCAGACCCTCCGGGCATACTCACACTAGGACTTTTTCTACGAAGTCCTGGACCTAATTGCGGTCAGATTCGTCCAGGTCTGGCCATAACTGCAGTCAGGTACATTAAAGAAAGTGTTAGTGGGAGCATGCCCTCAATGGATGCCATACAAACCACTCATCCCATGTTTGTTCTATCTCTGAGCCAGCCTATGCTAGCTTCTGAAATCAGCTTGTGAGAAGCTGGGATCCATACTTCGCAGCCTCACGTACCCTTCGGAGAAAAAAACAGGTCCATTTCTCATTGTTGAGGTTAATGGCATACATCTTTCGAAGTTGCCCCTGTCCGTGTTCAAATTCGTTCTCCGCGCAGACGGTTAGCGATCGCACGGAGAAATCCAAGAAACAGTTAGGAATTTCAGTTCGCGGCATTTAAATTTTAGGGGTAAGTACGTTTATGTCACCTTTGAGTATCGAATGGGCAAAAAAAACACGTGTCCGCAAAGAAAACCGCACCGAGTTCGAAAAGGCAACGGAAGTACCGACGACGGTGGTGTCAGATCGGGTGTCATATTTACAGGGGTCGGCCGTGGTGTCAGAGTGGAAAGCAAAAAAAAAAGAAAATGCCCAACTGATACTTTTCGACCGAAATCGCTCATTTCGAGTTGGAGCGTGGTTTCTGTGCCGGCGCGTGTTTTTTTTGCCTTTAGGGTTTCAAAACATGCTGCATCTGCCGTTATTTCTAAATTTTATTTGTTCTAAAGCGCATGCGACCATTTTTTTGAATTCTTGCACGGCCTATGCGCGTGCACGCCATCTTCCCCTCTGGCTGAGCGCTTCTCCCTGCATGTCCGTTCGTCTCCCCTCAACTCTACGCCCGATCCTCCTCTTTCCCTTTGGGGCGATCGATTGGTCGTTAGTTGGGATGGCCGGATCAACGCCGCGAAAGCACACTTGCGTGCGCAGCTTGGACGACCACCCCAATTGAACGAGGAATACTGACCACCCCGCCTCCTTCGATCCCTGTGGAGCCGCTGCTCTTCCTCTATCCTGCTCATCTACATCCCTTGCTGCCCACACCACACACCGGCACCCCGCCGCCTTCCGTGCTATAAGTTCTCACAGCTCCTTCCTCTCCTCCTCTTTGATCTCAGCTGCAATGCTGTGCGCGCTAAGCACGAAGACCACGACTTTGCTCGATGTGCCCAAGTGGCGGGCGGAGTGACGATGTGAGTGGGATTAGCCGTAGACTTGCGGGTACGTGC